CTAGGCCCGAAACATCAGCTTTCCTGCTCCTCTGATGCTGCTTGGCCTGCTGTGTTCATCCAGCTCTACACCTTGTTATCTCAGATTCTCCAGCATCTGCAGTTCCTACTATCTCTGACTATTTAGAGACATTGGAAAAGTTAAGAAATGTGCTGAAGATGTGTAGGTCGGTGTTGTCAGCATACATGTGGAAATTGATGTGTTTCAGATTATGCAAAAATTAAATTGCATCACCAAAAGAATGAAGGAGAATTTGTTTACTTTATCAGAGATCATGGAAAAGATCACTAGAAACAGTGGCACAAAATGAATCCAAAACATGAGAGGATAAGTATTAAAAAGCGAAGAAATTATATGTTTGGTGAAAAGCACTAAATGATTAACTTAGAGACAGCACAGATGCAACTAGTCAAATTGTCATACCCTTTGCCATTGAATTCTATTATTATGTTGTACATTTTATCTCTAAAGCCAAAAAAAGGGAGCTAATCTGTAAGTAGTGGATGGCCAGGGGATAAATTAGTTCATTTTGGCTATCACTATATTTTGTTAACAAGAGACCAAGGTGAAGGTCCAAGCACAGGAACACCACTAAAGTTGAAATGGATTGAAGGGTAAGCATGTTAAGTTGAGACTTGGGTGATGACAAAGGTTTTAAATGCCCAAGATTGTGAGAGCAACAGACGTTCTTCAAGTATTTTGCAGTTTTGAGAAAATTTTCCTGGACAACATTAGAAAAAAACTTTATTATCTTAAACAGTATTATCTTTCTCTGTGACGAGAACCATGATTAATGCCTTGATGGACTTTTGCTTTATACAGAATATTTTTTTTTGTTCCTAAAGCACACAGGGACTTGTTTCTATTCTAAAACTATTAAACAAATGCAAAAGATTTTCCTGTGCATATTTAATCCTTAATGTAAAATGCGACAACATTGAAGAGCTAGTAACCTCACTCTTTTCTCTTCACAATATCTGGGAAATAAATACATTGCATTGATAAAGGGAGCAATGCGGGTGACTATAAGTAGAATAGGGTCGGTGAATCTGTACCACTTTTAACCGAATTCCCAACTGTAGAACAAAAGGACATGAAACTGAACTTATAAAAAAGAACTTTGGAGGTTAATGTTAGGAATCAGTTCTTTGTGCAAAAGAGTGATTAGTGGAGAAGAAATTTTTCAAATAATTCAAGACACATAAATTTTGTGATGGACTGATGTATATGTGACCATAAGACCATAAGATATAAGAGCAGAATTAGGTCATTTGTCCCATTGAGTCTGCTCCACCATTTGATCACGGCTCTATGTTTCTCAACCCCATTCTCCTGCCTTCTTCCTGTAATTCTTGATTCCCTTACTAATCAAGAACCTATCTATATCTGTTTTAAAACACTCAATGACTTGGCCTCTACAGCCTTCTGCAGCAATGAGTGTGACAGATTCACTGCCTTCTGGCTTAAGAAATTCCTCCTCACCTCAGTTTTAAAGGGTCATCCCTTCAAACTGAGGCTGTGCCATTGGAAACACATTTTCACATTCATTCTATCCAGGCCTCTCAATATTCCATAAGTTTCAAAGAGATTCCCCTTCAAACTTTTAAACTCCATCAAATAGAGACCCAAAATCCTCAACTGCTCCTCATATGACAAGCCCTTCATTCCTAAGATCATTCTTGTAAACCTTCTCTGGCCCCACTCCACAGGGATCTGCTGGATCTTCCCAGTTTTCTGAAGTTACAGCAGGAGATTGGCAAAACACCCAGGCAAATGATATTAGGGATCGTTCTCATCAGTTACACTGCTTCCCTGGAGTGTCAGCTAACCTTGGGCCTATGTTACAGAAGGAGGAAGACCTAATGAACAGTGTCAGAGCCTCTGTTTCATGTAGAAGAAGATATGGATGAACCAAATAAGCTCCTTTGTCTGCATTTATTTTTGCTGTGTTTGTGAACCAGGACATTAATGAAAATGAAGATTGAATTACGCATTAATACCACGTGAACTACAATTGGTACATCAAATACAAACAGCAATGAACGAAACATGCTTCTCAGAATTAAATGCAAATTAGATTCTCTCACAAGTATCGTAGTCGTGGTAGATTTCTGAAAGCTCCTTGATCAATTTTCACCAGATGCTTTGTATTTTGAATTGAGCTGGATAGAGGCAAGTGAAACATATTAGAATTAATGGACGAGTCAAAGATACATGGAGCATGATGTGAATGCAAGATAAATTAACAGCTTCATTATGCAAAAATAATCTCTTGTTTGAAAAATATAGTTAAATATGACAAAATAAGAATAAAAAACCTGAATATTTTTTCCACTATTCATTTTATATCATCTTCCCTATTCTGGTGGACGTATTAACTTTTTGCTGGACCATTGTTTCACGGGTTACAGTCAGAGACTGGTAAATAGCAATCAAGTGGGAATTTTGTTGTTGAAATACATGTACAAAAGGGAAAAAGGTACTTGACTGATAGCTCAAAAGCTTTATTTATATGACAATCTTTCTGCTGGCTCAACATTCATTTACACAAGATAAAGGGGTGACAAGTGCTTATAGTTTCTGTTATCTCCCCTTAACCTAGGTAACTAAAGCCAATTATAGAATTCCTAGCATAGCTCCACAAACTCAACAAGAACTGGAAATTGAAACTGGAGCCATATGGAAAAGCCAGGCAAAGTTTTAAAGAACAGAGCCATTCACAGAGTTGCACCCCTGTGCGTTTTGTGGACATTGTAGTAATAAGGTCCTTGCAGCCGCAAATAAGTACCACACAAGAGTAATCATATTTTTATAACACCAGATTCAAAAGCTTTCAAAACACCCATGCAAGTTACCATGCAAGTAATTCTGACCTTCACCAACTTAGCGTATGCCAGAAATCTTCCATCTGAATCTAGTAAATGTTCCAATGCTTCAAGCAAGATTATCCAAAGCTATGTAAATATTCAAGGCATCAAAATCCCTGCAGGTTTGCTGATTTCGCACCAGATCCCAGCCAATCCATTCACTCACTTCCCAAACTTGCATAAAAGCTTTTGTTGTTGAAATACATGTACAAAAGGGAAAAAGGCGCTTGACTGACAGCTCGCAAGCTTTATTTATGTGATATTCTTTACTGGGGGCTCAATATTTATTTAGACAAGATAAAAGGGTGTCAAGTGCTTATAGTTTTTGTTCTTGATGCTTTAAATATATGGTTGGTGGGAAGTTTTACAGGGTTGTAATAACAGCAATGCTTTTCAAGTCAGTCATGAATGACTGCTTTTAAGCTTTTAACCACAAATGCCATTGTTACTGTAGGGTTTACAGAGTGCATTATTCGAAATGATATGAGTTTGCCTGAAGAGATTGAGGGGCTGTTGGGGTGGGTTGGGGCCTGGGTTGACACGGCAGGTAAAAAGGAACATCGGGGATGGCTGGGGAAGCATGGATAAAAGCTTTTGAAATTATCTTTCAAATTGGTCCTATCCAGACTGCAGTTCATGATTCCTCTGAAAGGCTAAGAACCATGAGTCCTTGAGAAATTGATCTCACTCCAAAAAAATTGCAGGGAAATAGGAGCTATTTCAGAAGGGTCTATTTCCATTTCTGAAGAAGTGTCTAGGCCCAAAACGTCAGCTTTCCTGCTCCTCTGATGCTGCTTGGCCTGCTGTGTTCATCCAGCTCTACACCTTGTTATCTCAGATTCTCCAGCATCTGCAGTTCCTACTATCATCTTCCCACACACCATTTGTAAAGGTATGCAGAGTCTCCAAGACTCCACAAAAATCTGGCCTTACATATTCAACATTTAGTGGGTCAAACCCCTTGAAATCCTGACCAACAATTATAGGAACAACATCACAAGGACTGAAGTGCTCCAAGGAAAAGTTCAAAAACAACCTTCCCAGAATAACTAGGCTGTCCAATAAATCATGTTCATTAACATCACCTATAATCAGAAAATCAAACCTTTTCTGCCTAAAATAATTTTTCTGTGAGTAATCAGCACATGCTCTGCACCACATCGACATAGCCTGCTTTCCTGAGTTTTCTTCAACAACAGAATCTAATAGGTTAAAACATATTTTAGTCTACTATAACAGCTGAATTATTCTTTAGTTATTTCAGACCTCTTGCTAAATATTTTTCAACAAACACATACAAACACATTAGACAAAAATCCTTGAAGAGACAGCACATGATTTAACTTGTATTCTAAAAATACAGTTCATGATATTATTGAGATTAGACAATAATAACAATTTCAACAATGTCCAATTTGTCTTTAACCCATTACCAGATCTCCCTTGGCAATGGATCATTGAGGTGGTTGGGGGTGATGGAGGTGAGGTGTATTTAAATAGGCAACAAGGTGTGGGCAGGGATACTGCTGAATTGCAGTCTCTCTCCTTCCCACCCTAATACCAAATGAATACTTTAAGTAGGCAGATGGGGTAGTCTCCATGCAGAGAGTCTGAAAATTGCAGCTCATATTTAGGGTACATTCAATCCCTACAGTGTGCAAGCACGCTCTTCGGCCCATCAAGTCCACACTGACCCTCTGAAGAGCATACCACCCAGACCCACCCTATCCCTGTAACCCTGCATTTCCCCACACCTAATCCACCTATCCTACATACCCCCGAACACTATGGGCAATTTAGCATGGCCAATCCACCTAACCTGCACATCTTTGTGCTGTGGGAGGAAACCAGCGCAGCTAGAGGAAACACACGCAGACATGGGAAAAGTATGCAAACTCCACAGAGACAGTCACCCAAGGGTGAATTGAACCTGGATCCCTACGCTAACCAGTGAGCCACTGTGCTGCCCCATTAATATTATATTCTTCATTTTTTCTTGTTTTCTTCATCTTCCTTTGCTGAATCCTAAAATGCTCATAGTCCTCAAACTTACTACATAGAATCAGTGGATTTATTTAGGGGAGTTATTACCATGGTTTTTTTAGGGGAGAGTGTCTTTCTGTCAAGTACTCAGTGCCTGATCAAGGGATCTGGCACAAAGAACAGGTGGTTTCTCTGAGAACCAGCTCTTACCCTTACTCCTGACCCCCTGCCACCCCCTTTCCAGTGGCTCCTCCCCCGCAATCTTGACCTTGCCTTCACAAATCTGAGCGTGGGTCCTTTGCTGATCCTGAGTCTCTGATGGATGCATTGCTGACGGCCTCCACTGGTGGCAATGATCACTGTTGGCTTCTGATTGACAGGTAGCTATTGGGGGCTAAATTTCTATCCTCAGGGTCCTCGATCACAGAGCCTGACTGACACTTAATTGAGCAGGCCTTACCCAAAGGAGGTGAGGCAGAACCCTTGCTCCGGCCAATGGGCAAGATCTTCCACCTCTTGTCTGAAATTCTAGTCCACTGAGTGGAGAATATTGTGTTTAAGAACCACAGGATTGTTTAGGAAGAGGGTAAATGAGGGCTAGTGATTTATGCTAAATTAATAATTAAAATTCCACTGGATGCTAAACAATGTTACAATTTCTGAATTTGGCAAAAGAAAGCAAACATGAATTGTGTGCTAAACCGGGATTTACTTGAGGCATTGGACCAAGAAAGAGATGTTGGGATTTTAAGAGTACAGTATTCTCAGACTGTCAAAAAAGCAACCAGAATTCTAGGATGTACAGTAAAGGTGTAACAGGATTGTAGTGGTGGACCTTGTTGACAACAAAGTCCTTGTTTGGAGTTGTTAACCTGGGCCAATCAGGGAAGTCTTGGCTGACCAATATTAACAGGAGATTTAGAATCTCCTCAGTTCAGGAGACTGACTCTGAGCTGGCTGGGCCACAGCCAGTGTACTGTGCAAAAGTAAGTAAAGGGTGACTGGTGACGAGATACTGGCCTATGTGCAGTTATTTATAGATGACAGGAAAAAACAAGATGTGCCCGAAGAACATTTGCTTGCAACAGTCATCTTGGAGTTGGGATAAGCATTTCTGGAATCATGCCTTTATTTGGGAAGCTTGACTTCTTTGATCCTGCTGTCGAAGACTGAGCCTCGAATGTGGAAAGAATGTGATTATTTTTTCTGGACTAATGTCATTAGGGCAGATGAGAAGCAGCAAGTAATCCTTCTGACTGCTTGCGCACCCACAGCATTTTCGGTTATAAGCGGCTTAACTTTCCCAGAGGCACAAGACATTAAAACCTTCCAAGAGTTGGTTAAGGAATATAATGACCCCGGACCTCCTCTAGTTCTGAGACACTATCAGTTTTATTCAGCTGTTAGAGAACCAGGGGAAATTGGTGTCTGGATTTTTGATGAGACGATTGGCAGAGGTATGTGATTTTGGGTTAACCCTAAATGAGATGCTGAGAGGTCGTTTAGTATGTAGGATTAATGACATTACCATGCAGAAGCGCCTACTAGTTAAAGTCCAACTGGACTTCAAACAGGCAGTATAACTGGCTTTGTCATTAGAAAATGCGGCAAATGGAACATGGGAGCTACAGGGCATCCCAATGGAAGCGGTCTCCCTCACCTCTCTGACTGAGCTTGGGGAACACCACTAGAGCGTCGGCAATCACAGAGCCTCACACAGGGAATATCCTGAGCAGAGGGACCCTAGGCCAGCCCACAGCAGAACCCCACTACAAAGCTGATCCTCAGCCAAGTGCCTAAAATGTTCTTCAGGATCTGGGCCGACAAACCATTGTAGCTGCTACCGGTATGCAGACTCGAGACAGCAAAGGAGTCCTACAAGGCCTGACATGAGTAAGAAAACTTGTCGGGCAGTACCCAGGACAGTGCACATCCTGGAAAATCCTCCTACATGTGGGTTGGAAAAGTTAAATTGCTTAGCGACATCCAAATGGGAACCAATTAAAATTAATGTTTGGTTAAATGGTCACTCAGTTCCCTCGGAGGTTGATACCAGTGCAGCTGTATTGGTGGTTGCAGAACCTGTCTTTAAGAAGATTTGCTCAGGACTTCTAACCTAAAGTGTGCGCGAGACCTCAGCCAGACTGAGAACATACACTGGGGAACCATTGCAGATTAAGGGTACAACTTCGTTTCCGGTCACCTATGAGAAGCAGTTGGTGCAGTTACCACTGATGGTAGTAGGAAGCTTGGGCCCAAGCCTATTGGGGCGGATTTGGTTCAGAAAGATTCACCTTGATCGGCTCAACATT